ACTTTGCATTGAGAGACTGATTAGGAGAGGTGCTGAGGATCTGCAGGTGCTCAGAATCTTTCAGGATCAAGCCCACTCAGAAGCAAGTACTGCTAAATAATATACAAATTCTGCTAAATTGGGCAATGGTTTTCTGATGCAAAACGCAATATACCACACCAATGAGTTCCCACATTCCTTGCATGTAACAGCTCTTCATCTAATTCCCTGCTCAAGACAGGATTCATAAGCTTCATAGCCTTATCGACAGCCATTACATTACCCTATACCAGGGGTCGGCAACGTTTGGCACGCGGCTCGCCAGGGTAAGCACCCTGGCGGGCTGGGCCAGTTTATTTACCTGCTGACGCGGCAGGTTCGGCCAATCGCAGCCCCCACTGGCCGCGGGTCGCCGTCCCAGGCCAATGGAGGCGGCGAGAAGTGGCTCGGGACGGCGAACTTGGTCTCTCCCAGCACTCAATATGCCTCCACAATTCTCGCTCAGTAAGTGTTAATAACCCAGTCTTGCTACAAAACAGATACAATATCAGACTTACAGGTCCATCTTTGAGCGTGTCATGTGTTAACCTAATCATTTCTGCTGAACTTTAGAACAAGGTAAGAGCTGTCCTAGAGATCTGATTTTCCTCTCTGATATTCTTTCGCCTTTTATCACGTAATGTCCAAATTTCTTTGTGATCATGTAAAAAGTGACAACGAATCCTGTGGCACCTTATAGACTAACAGACGTATTGGAGCATAAACTTTCGTGGGTGAATAACCACTTTGTCGGATGCATGCAGTTACATACATGCATCCGACGAAGTGGGTATTCACCCACAAAAGCTTATACTCCAATATGTCTGTTAGTCTATAACAGTGTTACCCAAACTTGGGATGCTGCTTGTGTAGGGCCGGGCCAGTTTGTTTACCTGCTGCGTTCGCAGGTTCGGCCGATCGCGGCTCCCACTGGCCACGGTTCGCTGCTCCAGGCCAATGGGAGCTGCTAGAAGTGGCGGCCAGTACATCCCTCGGCCTGTGTCGCTTCCAGCAGCTTCCATTGGCCTGGAGCAGTGAACCGTGGCCAGTGGGAGCCACGATCGGCCGAACCTGCGGACGCGGCAGGTAAACAAATCGGCCTGGCCTGCCAGGGGCTTTCCCTACACAAGCGGCATCTCAAGATTGGGAAACACTGGTCTATAAGGTGCCACAGGACTCTTTGTCACTTTTTACAGATCCAGACTAACATGGCTACCCCTCTGATTTGTGATCATGGTATTGCTGGTCCAATCAAACACTCTAATATGCTCTATTTCCCACCATATCATCCCTACACACCTGTCCGTTCAGGACATAGTTGAGTCTTCTTGTCCAATCTGTTTTCAGCAACACTTGTTATACATGCCCTGTATAGACTCTCATATAACCACTGTCTTTGCTTCACAAGTATTTCCATGCAAAGCCAAAAGCATAGAGTATTTCTCTGACTCAAATCACTAAACATTACAATTCCACCACAAACCCTAAAGATTCCAACCCTCTGCAAATCTATGAACTTTGCCATTTTCACTGAGAATTCTTCAGGGTTTCGATTTTTGCTTCTGGTGGTGAAATAAGTATTCTGCTGCAGAAACCTTCCTTTTCTTTTGGTGAAAAGGTTAAAGGAAAAAATAATAAATTTCTTTTACAGAAGCTAACGTATCACATTTCTTACTGCTTATTTTAGGCCACAGGATTACAGGAAACCAATGTGCAGCAATAAAAAAAAGCAAAGAATGCATTAAAATCAGCATGGTTTAAATCAGCTATGGAAATCAGGATACAATTATCAGTGTTAACATTACATTTCTTTGCATGCAAGTCGGTATGGCTACTAACATTCTAGCTAGAAGTGTGCAAAACATTCATTCTGTACAAAATTCAAACCACTGGATATAGAGGTTTTTACATTGCATTTTGAATAGTCCAATTTGAGGGGGTTGGTGGAAATGTGTTTTAATCAATTAAAGCCCAGACTGTGGGGGGCCTGTAGGAGTGGTGCTTAGCCCCTTGCATGCTCACGTATTTCCCCACTTACTAGGGCCAGATGAAGGTAATCTAGGGCCCCACACATGGAACTCCCCTGTATTTCTGCCTCTGCACATCATCCTGCTGCCCTCTTCCATGTCCTTACCCCCACTTAGAGTGGATTGGTAGGGTCTACAGCCATCAGCTGGAATGTTGGAAGGTTCATCACTACTTCCCTTTCGGCACTAGGTCATTTGGAGAGGAGTTTGTGGGTACGTGAGGCAGACGCCCTATCTTCAGCTCCTGCTAGGGTGTTGTGATGCCAAATCAACAACCCCTGAGACAACAGCCACATGTGTCTTCCTCCCTCCTCGACCCCCAAATATATTTTTAAACAACATATAGTCCTTTTTGTCTCAAAGTAAATTTTAAACAAAAATTCATGATGTGATCAAAATTTAAATATCTGGATATTCCTTTTACATATAAATCACTGTGCAGTGAAAAGAAGTGGAATTTTAAATATCATATTTGAATATGAAAAAAAGAGTACTTTCACAGAATATTTAAAACAAAAAGTGAAATCTCTTGAATGTGAAATGACCCAGAACAAAATAACCGTTTAATAACAAAACAGAAAAAACCCCACTCATTTTTGCACAGGTCCAGTTATAACCTTGTTAGGGTCAGAATTAAATGATGTCATGGTTGTTTTAAACTATTTGTATGCTGCTGTTATGCACCTTACATACAAGTGGAACACAGAGCAAAAATTCATGGAGCGCCAACCCGGTAACTATCTAGTTCTGTCCAATTTGTAGTTGGAGGGAAGGCAAGAAATTTCCAAAAGTGATCTTCCAGGGCAAGCCTACTCTTGCTGCCCAGAGTTGTAAGCAGATAATCTGGCAGCACTATCTGCATCATGCTGACTTTATTTACACATCTCTGATTGAGCTCCGAAATGTGGTGATAACACAGTTTAACACACACAACATTACTTCTGCTGCAGCTACCAAGCTGCCTTGGAAAAACAAAACACTGATTCACTCTGAAGGATATAATAGCAATCATATGCGTTTCCTTACCCACCACACACACACACACACACACACACAAGTCATTGCTAGATAGTGGCATTTCCAATTTGTTATATAAAACACACACAGGACAGAAAAGTGTGTGTGTAGTCTACAGAAATAATTAACAAGTGCTGTCACTGAAATCAGATTCTGATTAGCGAGTAATCTGGGCTGTTCTTGTGATGTACTTACACAATGTAATGTTTTTGCAAGAATCATTTGAAAATTCCAGGAATTTTTTCTATGCTTCATTCGGTGTTACATACTCGAGGAGGGAGAGGGGGAGTGGGGATTAGTACCAGGACCCTAACTCCAGCCTTACACAGCATAACTCATTAAGTGACACAAAAGGAGATAAACGATACACAATAAAGGCCTGATCTTCCACCGTTCTTTAGACCTCTTGTGAGGTTCTGAGCAGCCTCTGCTCCTATTGAAGTTTGCACCCCACAGTATATTGGGCCCAAGAAATGATGCAAGAGAGAACTTTCTAAAGTCATGAAGACAGAGTCATTGCTCTTTGTTGGCTAATTTATATAGAAATAAACACAGGCAATC